TTCTGACTCAGATTTTCAGAGAGCTTTTATAATCCTTCACTAGTGCACCTGTCAGTTAATCCCTTGTTATAATCTATTTTGGATCACCTCACGGGGAGAAGAGCTGATGGATACGGTCGCAGCACTCTGTGGATTGGCAGGATGAATCGTTCTTTGGATACTGAGGAGGACGAGCTGGAGGTCAGGACAGCTGTGACACAAGCTGGCACTAGACCAAGGGACCTCTCTCCCCAGATAAAGACAAAGCAGAGCAGAGGATCTGCGATACATCCCTGTATCCTGCCTTGAGAACCTATTACATTAATCTATTTCCTATACACACTGCATACTTTACTCTTTTTAAAATTTTTTTCTTTCCTTGCCTTCTAAGATTGCTTTTCAGATTCTCCTTTAGCAAGACATAATAAATTTAATTTTGCAATGTTTTGTCATAACCAGGCCAAAATCTAAAAGTAAGCATAAATGGCCTGCTTCTAAAAGAAACAAGTTGTAGTCCAATGTAATAAAGGTGTTTAAAATGTGGTGACCCTGTGCATTTCCACTGCCTAAATCACTGCAGACATTCTGCACTTTCACAGCTATTTGTCTTTCTCTTTCATTGTATTTTTTAAAAGAAATGCAAACATACATTCATAACAAAACCTAAGAGCTGCCAGTATCTTTTTTTCTCAGAAAGGACAGATGATATCAGTTTAGTGAAAGTCAAGCTAAGGTAAAATATACAGCTATGCTGATGTAGAGACAAAAAATACCAACTGGAGATTTCTCTTAAAGTTTTATATCCCCCCCCCCCTTTTTTTTTCCTCCCTTAAGTTTAAAATAACATTTTAATACTTGCTTATGTTGCCAGAGAGCAGTTTATGTTGCCAACATCAGTATCTAGGAACAGAAGCCAAACCATGTATTACTGTAAAACAACAGTAAGAGGGTAACAAACAGGTGTGCGCAGAGCATAACATCTTCAACTCCTTCCATATGTAGTCCAACCCATAATTATCTCTCAACAGAGTACTGTGATAAACATGAAAATTCCTGTCTTATATCCATCTGCAGAGCCTTGTTTTAATTTTGCAGTTCATAAGGTTTGCAGTACCATATCAACCACCCTTTGTTCGCTTCGCAGGCTGCAGACACCAGAATTTGTGGATAGCTTCTTAAAAACATGATAACGGATTGCTCTTCCATAAAATCTACTAAAGAAAGTAGCTGGTTTTTTTTGTTTTTTTTTTTTCCCTTCTGGCAGTACCTCAGACATAACAAGATGGTAATTATGGGGAAAGTGGATGTGCAAATGGTGATTCCCTGTGTATGAGGCGAAAATCTGACACACTACAGCCTAAAGTAACACTCTTTACCCTCTGGACTACAGATCTGTCTGTAGCTTTATTTTTATCACTTTTAAAAAATTGTTTTAAACAGTAAAATTGAAAAGGAAAAAAGAGGCAAAATGTAAGAAAATCCCTAAAAATCTACAGAAAAGCCGTAATAAGGTTAAGATTGCACTCTCACTTATGTTTGCATGTTACTGAACAGCTACTGAGGATTTGTCACTTGATACTCCAATATCTCCCTAATGATATGGGAGTGACACAGCTCCTCTGTCCTCTGTACTCCTCCTGAAGCCATTTTGTTTATGAAACTTCATGCTCTTGATATAAAGGAAAGCATTTATTGCAACAGAGGAGAGTAACCCAGGAATCCATGGGGAAATGAGTCTTTACAACCTTTGCTTTCTTAAGACTGATTCTCAGTTTACAAGCATATTATAAGTGACAGGGATCTCCTAGGAAAAGATAGCACCACTTGGGTTTTTTTTCCCCCTAAAATGTCTGTGAGTAGACCCTTACCTGTTTTGCAGTCCTTACAAACATTCAGCATCGGTTGCTTTCAACTTCATCTTTTAAAGATTTAATCCCTCATTTGAAGCTATCAAACTTCTAAAACAAAGATCCCTCCTGAGTGAATTTGTTGCCAGCATGCTTTAAATAGGAGCACATTAAAAATGAAAGTTTTGACTCCTGGCACGGTGCCTTAATGGCAAAAGGGCTTCGCGCAGCTTTAACTTGTTCAAGCTGGAACATCCACAGTGCTGGGGGTGGAGATGGAGTGTCAGGAAAGTGTTTGGGGAAGAAAGGCAGACCTTTCCTCTGTCCAACACCCTTCTCATGAAAAGCAATCCGTCCTTAGCCAAAACCTCAGAAAGAGGCTTGCTTGCTTGTTTTCTTCCCAGTTTCCTTTTTATGGGAGAAAAGGAGTACTCTGCAGTGATGCAAATAGGAAAGGATTGCTCTCCAGAGAAGTGTGAATACTCTCTCCTAATAATAATAGAAAAGGCAAGCAATCTATGCATTTACAATGATTTGGAGTAGAACGCAGTCCAGATTCTTAAATTGGATACACTCAGCTGATCTCCTGAAAATTTGTACACTTCCATTTGGAGGTGAAAGTCAATTCTCAGCCAAGGGTTTTTGAAAGGACAGCATTTGTTCGTATGGATCTGAGGTGAGAAATCAAGGCTGTGTGTTCTTTCAATAACATTTTATTGGGATAGTCCAGTGTTAACTGCACAATACATAAAGCAACAGTCATCAGTTAGGCCACCAGGAATGAAGTTGATCCACTTGCTTGTCTAGACATTGACTTTATCTAAAGGAATGTGCATGTATAGACAGGGAAAAACCCAACAAACCCAGAAAGATGAAAGCATAGCTTTATGGGTTTTCAGTCTATTTTACACCTCAAACATATTATGCTGTATAATTTTAGCACGGCAACTGGTATCAAACATTCTCAAAAATACTGAAGCAGGGTTGCCTGTTAAGTTACTACACCTGAGAGTCTGGAACGACGGAAGTATTTTTTTCATTGAGGGACAGAAAGTATTTATTAAAACGTAAACAGTAAAATCAGTTAGAGATTGTATTCCTGAAATAAATAAAAAAGCAGTGTCCTGGTTCAGCTAGGATAGGGTTAAGTTTCCCCAGCAGGGAGGGGCAAGGGATCTCCAGGCGGGTTATTCATACCATGCTGATACAAGGTCCGGTGCAGCAGCGCGAGAAGCTTTTCCTTTGTGGCTTTGGTCATGGGAAGCAGGCGCAGCGGGCTGGATGTGTTCACTGCGGTATTTCTCTGTATATCTTTTGTCTTGTTTACTGTTATTACTGTTTAATGTTGTTATTATTGCTATCGTTGTTGTTCAGATTGTTTATTACACTGTTGTATTAAATTTCTTCTTATTTTAACCTGGGGTTTGTGCCCTACTTGTGTCCGAGGGTGGGAAAGTGACAACAGCAATGTGGTCTCCAGTCCCGGCAGGGCCTAAACTATCACAAGCAGTCTCAGAAAACCAAAGTATTTTAGCAGAAATGTGTCTTAATCCATTTCCAAAGGTGAAAACAGCAAACAGTGTTGAAAAAGCATCTGCCACACTATATCATGTTTCAGTAATGCCACAGCTTTCCAGTTAAAATCAACGCTAACTTCAAGAAAGCATCCGTTACCTCAGGAAAAGAAAACTCAAGATTCCTACTAGAGATCCTTTCCAACTTTCTTTACTGACTTCAGGGAATCATATTCCTCACCTGCTGAGCCCTTTTCTATTAACTAGGCCAATTTGAAAATAAAATGAACTATTATTATTTGTACATTCTACTTACTAGTAATTTCCATATATTTACACCACGCCATGCCTGTTTTAATAAACTAATAAAAAAAAAATGCACATACGTTAAAGATCAAGATTTAAGTCAGAGAGTCAAAACTAAAATGCAGAGCTCTCCTGAAAATTCAAGAGGGACACCTGAACTGAGGACCAAGGCAGAACTTTATCCGAAACCAGATTTATATGCAGTGACTTCTAGTGTTTGTGGAAAAGGCATCTCCACGTTGTTCTGCAATAATGAAAGTGCAGTTCAAGTAGAAAAGGATACATCACACAAAGTAATTTAGATTCTACCTTCTGAACCCTAATTCAGATTTACAATCATCAAACAATCAATTTTAAATAAGAGGTCCTTGAAAAAGAAGAAACAAGCCTAAATATTCCTGTCACTTTTCCCCCCTCACATCTGTAGTCTCTGAATAGTCAAAACTCAAATTACTTTATCTAAAAATTACTGTATGTTATTTTCACACATCGGCAGCTTTGTCATATACTATGGTATCACATGATGACTGCATTTTTAAAGATTTATTGCCATTTAGCGTATTTCTTTAAAACGTTTCAGTTGTACAAGTAATCCCATCTACCATCATCTGTATGCATTTACTGAATCTAAATGAAAGAAAAAAATCAGTCAACATTTTTTTAAATGAAAAAAATTTTTGTCCCCTCGTAATTTGCATGTCCTCTCAAATTTCTCCATATTTTTTCTACCTATTGAACATCTTGTCTTTTCCCTCCTTCGAACATGCTCACTTCTTCAACAATGTCAACGAAAAACCGGCTGATATTAGTGATAGATTGCCTTAAGATTACAACAAAGCAAGTGACGAACTTTTATAACCCTTTCCCTCCAGCTCTTCAAGCAGTATTAATTTGCATGTAAATTAATAAACTAAAAATGTGGAAGCACCACTCAAGGGAGCTAAGATTACTTCATGTTATTCTAGCAAGTTTGCTTGAGGAAAATGTAATTTTTCCCCAGTCTTGGACACTGGGGAGTCTTGCTTTCTTGCCTTCTGAATGGAAAATTTTGACAAATGCTTATTTTTCCCCGTTGAAGTCACAGCAGTGTGTTTAAGAGTTATCAGAGCTGCAGCAGTGTAACCCCATCTCTGGGTCTAAACTCATAGGCTAAGGGTGCACTAAGGTCTGCCACTTACCAGCATGCTAATATCCAGCCACAGTCAAAGGCTCTGGGTCTCTTATTTAACACAGTATAAATAAATTTGCAAGTCAAAATGACTGACAAGACATCTGACATGAAATATCACTGTTTAAGATGGTAATAATAGGAAAAACTGAGTAAGCAACAAGTAACATCTAAAGTCTTACTTACCATAAATTCCTGTTGAAATACAGGGAAATGCCTGTAAAACAAATGAAAGGAAAAAATCAGTGGGATTTCTGTTTGTGGAACTTTTTATCAAAACCAAGGGTATTTTTAAACGTTTGTTTTTCAGCACCCAGAGATTACATGCTGTAGCCCTCACTGTTACAGCAGTCAATTCAGAGGCATTTTCATGTCATTATATGAAACGTATTCCATACGAGCAATGTTTGAACCCAGAATCATTATTAAAACTGCCTTTTGAGCTAAAAATTAATGCCATAAGCTCTAGTATGGTGGACAAAAAAGCGCCGCATTCTCTGGGTAGAGTTAGACAGTGTTTCTTCAGCAGTAAAATAAGCTTGGCCAGTTTAAACCCTGCCCTGCCCTCCCCTGCCTCTTTGCCATGCCCTCATTCACTATAACCTCCTTTTTAGTTTCAGAGCCTTTCATTTTTAACCTGACTTCTTTCAGACATGTGGTCTACAGCGCGATCCAACGCAGCTGTACTGGTACAAGTCAAAGGCTTGCAAACTGGTGCAGGGAGAGGAATTAGAAGACGCTGGGTGAAAAGAAAGGGTCCATTTTTGGGTCAGCTTGTGCACCAAAGAAAATGTATGGTTATAGACACCGTGCCTGCAAGAACGACAATTTATGTTTCTCCTAGCTGCACATGTTTGTCTAGAGATTTGCATTTCTGTGAGCCAGAGTCAGTTTTCCACTAGGAGAAACCAAAGCCGTGGTTTCATGAGAGACAATTTTCGTTGTGTGCAGTTGATATGTGATATCACCTTTGCCTCCCACCTCTGGACTGACAGCAAACACAGCTGAAAGGTACAAGAGCACCTGGGACCAAAGTCTCAAATATCCACCCTCAGGCTCCCCCCAGATCCCCTGGCGATGAGTCATCATACAAAAGAAAGGAATTCTTCTTTACTTAATCACACAGGAAAACATTATTCAAAGGTAATGCCTGCTTTATATTTAACCAGGGAATTAATTAGGGAATGGTGATTAAAAAAGGAGAGGGCTAATGGAAAGAATACATCCTCCCCTCCCCTCTGAAAATACTTAAGTAAAATAAAGTGGGGGAGAATTATAGTCTCATTCCTTCTCACAACCACTACAACTTACATCCTGAAAAATACTTAGCTTTGTAGTTTGTACCCAATAAATCATAATGAATCAGCTCTGTAAGGAAATGAAGAATGGAGTAGAAAAAAACCCGAAAAACCATACATGGTTACAGAGCTCAGGCTGAGGTGGCAACAGATGCTCCAGCAATAAAGAGAGGCATAAAGGATGATTTTGTCCAGTTCAGCACAGATTTTAAAATTCACCAGTGTTGAAGTCTCACATGTTAAGAGATAATTGCTCCAAAAGAGTGTTTTGTTTTCCATTCTTTTCCATAACTTGAGTAACAGCACATGTTTTAGGAACTCTTATTGGTCACAGGGAATAAATAACAGAGTATTTATTCAAGGTTCCTTCTCTCATTAGACCCATAACTCAGGTCCTGCAGCACCTCTGAACTTCCATCAAATCCTGCAGCTCCTTGGGCAACACCACACACAGTGCCTATGGGAAGCTGCACCATCGGCAATGACTTCAGATCCTCACCCGTATGGCAAAGCCACCCACCTGGGGACCACAAGCTGGGGCAGCTCCACAGCCCCTGGGCAGCGAAAGTGCACCACATGCACCATTTATCACCTGCACAAAGCAAAGGGGTGCTGGCTGATACGGTGTCCGAGCAAGATGCATCTAGTTAAAGCCCTGATGATGATCTCGAAGGGATAGAGGAGGCTGGCCGCAGCGCTGTGGGACGAGCTCAGCACACATGGTCAGGATCTCCCACCGCCGCTGTGTTTCTTGGGGCCCCTGGAGCCCAGCGTCTGCGGGCTCCAGGGGATGGGGCTTCCTGTTCTGCTTCGCTCCGAGAAGAGAAGATTAGACAACTGCGTTTTCAGCACTGCACGGCAGACGCTCGTCGCATTTGTTCCTCTCCATTCACAGAATACACTGCTCTGAGGTTGTTTAGCAAGCTTTAGCTAACAATTTGCGTTGTGTGTGTTTCTTAATACCTATTTTAAAATTACTGCGCAGACACGTCGTAATCCTTACCTTGCTTTCAGTTTCTGCCATGCAGCTGAAATGTATCTGAGTAGAGCTACAGGAGTGTGTAAATTCCCATCAAACTCCTTCCGAATATCGGTCTGTGCCATAACTTAGATGAGCTCTGCCCTCTCTCTCATTCAGAAATGATCACAGCATATAACCAGCAGATGTAATTTCGTAAAATGTGACAGTGCTTTTATTCATTCAAGAAAGGCCCATGACCGAGATCACATATCAACTGTGTTTCCTCTTGGCTCCTAGGGAGACAATTTAGTCTAGATGCCAGGTTGAAATTACTGGCAGAGCAGTAATGGGGAACTCACAGCATGGATATCAACATACTACAATATTTGGCTTATGGACAAAAGATGTTAAGGTTTCTAACCTTTTCTGTGCATAATAATATCTTAATTATATATTTGATTTCACTAAAAAAATTCAGTTTCACAGTAGGAAACATTCATTGCTATTTCCACAATAAAACGTTTCTCATCTTAATTTGTTGCCAGTAACTGCTGTTTATTGACTAACCTTTAATTTCTCTGCTACTGAAATAGCATGTTTGCTTTACTTCAGGGCTAATAAGAAATGCTACTGTGACAGCGCTCAAAACAGATACAACTCTGAAGTAAAACACAAGTAATAATGGTGAGAGCTTCCTACTATCATGCTGCTGCCATCACAGAGAGAGGCCAAATTAAATCAGCTGTGCGAATACTGTAAGAGTGAAATTGATTTAGTTCCTGTAGGAGAGGATGTGGGCACTCAGCCTCTGGTCCTTTTTAATCTAATGTTTCTTTACTAAGGCTACAGCAGCAGCGCTAATTAGGATGAAATGTAACGCAGTTGCATGAGGCAAATGTACAATAGTCACCATGTGGAGGCTAAGTTGGACTCTAAGACATTTCAATATGAGGTACCTGGGTATTTAAATACTTAAGGGCTTGTCTACAACAAGGGGTTCTAGTTCACACTGAGCTGCAACGTATTAACTGTTATACATTAGATGAATACAATTGCTATGTCTACATGACCAGATGCCTCCTACTGCAGTCCTAATAATTACTTCCACAGAGCAAGGACTTTCTTCAAATTAAGTGCTCGGCATTCCGCACCGGCATCCCAGTGACATTTCTGTCACGACCAAGCCACATACAAGGTAAGCACTTTTCTTCCAGAACATAACACAGCAGACAAATATAGTATCAAACACAAATTGAGCTTTGTCGGATTTCACTGCATCACCTCATGAAGCGGACTAGCTAATACTTGAGAGACATCCCTTCATGCAACTTGCATTACTGAATCTTCACAAAGAACTCATGAACTTTAAAAAAAACTTTTTTTTTTTTTTTTTTAATAAAATTGCAGGTAGAAACATTTTTTATCTAATTGTTCAACAAAGTTAAAAGTTCTTAGTATCTCTGGGTTGAAAGTAGTTAGATGTGTTACACACAAAACAAGCTTCTCCAGCAAGTTCAAGATAAACATTCCCTTGGAAAAGATCACGCCTCTTCATCTCCTTGTTCTTTTCCACAATCTGAGGTAGCAGCCAGCCTTTGCTCTATGAAGATGATGCCCTTCTGTATCAGCTCAAGCTGGGCTACTTCCCTTCCCCTGTCACCTTCCCCCAAAGCCTGTGAAGCTTCACGTGCTCCTGAGCTGTCTGTCTCCATCCCCTTGACACTGCCAGGAGTTATCCATTATTCATCCACAGCCTCTCTTCTCCCTCTTGCCACCACCAAGTGGGAAGTTGCTTTGGGTCTTGGCTTTGAGCACTGCACCAATGCAACTGGTTTTCCACAGTGGCCAAGAAAATGACATGCAGTTATTTCTCTTTGCCTATTTTTTATGGACCAAAACCAATTAACTTGCCTTCCACTTTGAAAGATTATCCCAACAGTACCTTAGTAGCGTTAAGAAACTGCAGAAGCACTAACACTCAAACCAAAGAAAGCTCCGAAATCGAAGCTCAAAAAAACATCAGTGCCAAAACAGTCTCCATGTCAGACAAGCAGAAACTGGAATCCTTGCTTCAATAGGAGAATGCCCCACTCCTGCCACTCAGAGGACCTGACCCAAAACTCAGCCAAACTGTGCTCTCTTACAGTGCCTCAGGTTATTATTTTTCAAGTTGGACTCATGTTTTTGTTTTTCAGCGTCCTTCATTTATATCAAAATATTACAGTAAGATGAGTTCCTCTGTGCAGTAGGCATTCTTGTCTTAAAAGCAGTACAGTGAGCACCTTTGCTAGATTGTTTGCCTTACAGTTGGTGATTGCCTCATGAACTGAAGTGGCAGGTGAGTGGGCAGAGAGAAAATTGCTTGTTTAAGAGCAGCTCTGACAACACTGCTCTGCTGTGATTCGTGAGGGTGCATGCCAGAGGGAATCTGCAGAGGTAAAGCAGCGGGTTACAAAGTAAAGCTGCCTATGCTAGAATGAGTTCTGTTAAGTAGAGTTAAAGTATAATACGGGACTTTTCACACCTTGAGTTCCCATGTGTGTTTTCAGAAAGTTCACTAACATAAATATGTATTTGTAATAACTTTGTAGGATGTCATGGATTAATAATGTTCTGATTTCCTTAGGACTTTACCAACTCTGTGACTTGCATGTCCAATTTAAGAAAAAGTATTTACTGCTTAAATCCTATGCTTCCTGTCAAAACACCCCCACATGTTTAGATCACATGCTGTGGCATGTACATCATGGCATTATGAAGTGCTGTTATCAAGACGGCGGTGCAGTGCTATGAAAGCTAAGTATCAGCTAAACCGCAAAGTAAACTAATTTAAATGATATCAATTGTTGGAATAATGACTCATTTATTTTCACAACAATGTTATGATTTGAATCTACTGGGTGGTGAAGAGGTGTGGTGGGAAATATAGTGGCGTACGTTTATCACTTTGAGCACATT